AAAAAAAGTAGGTCAAATAATGTACTACAAACTGTATTATAAAATAATTAATATTTTTTTGATAATATTACTTAAATCAAATAAGGATTACACCTAACTAATATATATGTATATATACACACATATAAGATAAGCCAATAATTTAATTCAAACTATCATATTAAGGTAACAGTATTTATGAGATTAATGATTCACTAGATATCAAATTCATAATCCTCCCAGTATCGATTCATAAGTGAAAGTTTTTATCAGTTATATAATATAGACCTGAATGGTCTTTAGGTAAAACAATGATAATATTTTGCATAACATGAAATTATTATAATATATATATATATATATAATATAGATTAATTAGAAGGCTTGTCGATTAAACTTTTATAAAATTCAAATAATTAAATCATATATTGTAATCAACAGATTGGGTGAAGAAAGAAAAAAATTAAAGTACGAAGAAGAAAAATGATGAAAAAAAACTATAACTCAGATAATTTTTTTTTTTTTGAAAAAATAAAATAAAAAAGGCCCAAAACTCTGAAGTATCATTCGACAGTAAGTATGTTATCTCATGTGACTTACATTCTCTTAAAAATTAGTATATTTAATTAACTACATAATACTTTCAACTATTGATAATACACAAAAAAAAAAAATACACATTTCATGACTTGATTCTTTATGTTTATAAAAATATGTGAAAATAAACAAATAAAGGTTGGGGACGTCTATATCTAAATATTGATATTGTGTGAATCCACGTGTATTTCTTTTTGGTGAACAAAAATTTTATCTCTTGGTAATATCATCCTTGCTCACGGTAAAATCCCAAAGGTCACCATATTTCTCATTGAAATCCCATATACTCATAGTGTTGTAATCATTTATCAACTTGTCGCGCGCTCCCCTCTCCATATTGTAGATCTGGGGTTCAAAGTTGTGGGGCTTATCGGGTTTGTCCATCTCAATTATGCAAAATATCACTGTAAACAATGCTGCTCCAATGTACAAGTACTCCCCCTAAAACAAGTAAACAAGCTAAATGTTTTTCTCATTTTCATTGTAGTTGGACTAAATTCCACTAACATCCAACAAAAAAATAATATGATTTACAGTAGAAAGAGAAGAAAACAACAGCCTTTACCGGAACATTGAGCAGCATCCCAGCAGCAATTGCTGGAAGGAAAAGCCATGAGATAAGCCCTGCACATACATGAATATGGATAATCACCTAACAAAATATAATTGTAATGTATGTCAAGATACAGATGGATTGACAAACTTCATAAATGTAATAGGTTAATTTCAAATTTATGCCGATTATAAAGTGCGGCAAGCACGAACTCGACTAACAAAAAAAGAAAAGAAAACAAAGCTGAAAACAAAAGGACTCCAATTTATGACACTGATTCAATTTGATGAAAGATGGCTGGTACCTTGAAAACCTGTAGGGGGCTCTACAGCCGCAATATCCTCTGCAATTGCTCCCCAAAATGTTCCTAATGAAATTTTAAGTAGGGATTCAATACTCACCCCGAAAGTGGGTTAGTTCCATATGTTTTACAACATCTATTTTGAGAAAGAAACTGTTAATATATAACTCATAGAGGGCAATCATCCTGTAACAAGAGAGGACGAAGAAATCAAGAGTCTCCTTGATTATGATCACCAGGATATATAATAATGTTTTCCTAGTTGAAGTATGTGAATCTTTTTTTTTTTTTTTTTGAAATATAAAGTATGTGCATCTTGATTACATACCTAGAAATTCAAACAAAAGAAACTGATTTAAAAGAACTATAAGTTTCTCCACCATCAACTCAGAATTCAGGTTTTATGACATTATACTTTATAGTGTAATTGATTATTAGAAATTGAATGAGAAAAAACTAGACACTAATTTAAGCACAAAGACTTATCTTCCATCTCATAAAAGAATCCAACAGCCAGTTCTTGATCAGAGAAAACACCGAGTACAGATACCTTTTTCCTCCTCTCCTTCATGGAATGTATGATGGCCATCATACTCCCCATATTTAAAATCCTCCTGCCACCAGCAATATCAATCACCATAAGTAATGTTCATCAAAATAAATAAATAAATAAATACATAAATGTATTACAAAGAGAGATGCGTACTGAGCTGATGCTGTTAATCTCCCACCGGTCAACGGGGTCTTCGTTGAGATCGGGTTCAATCTCAGACAACCCTGCATATACTCTCTGTAGTCTGCATCTGCCGCTGCTAATTCCGGTCAACCGGAGATGAACAGGCCACTTGTTACTCTGGTCCCAAACCCTAACCCTAGTTTCAGCGAGATATGAGCTGAGTTTGGGCACTGAATTGACCGAGAGAACTGAGGCTGACGAATGTACCGCCATTTCTCTTTTATCTTCCTAGCCTCAATGTTGTAATCTTATACAATTTTACGGTTGATTTTCTTTCCTCTAATCTTATACAGATAAGATATCTATGACGACAAATACTTGCAGTAATATCGACAGACACTGAAAACTTATGACTGACCTATATATAGATAAGATATGTATGATGATAAATATTTGTAGTCACATTCACAGGTACTAACAGAAGCGTTAAAAGTTGAAGTTGAGAGAAGGGAGTTTTTACCTTCATAGGCATTCCATTTCATCTTCTCGATGGCATTCACCTCCCATCGATGCAACCTTCATACACAGTAACACAATTCTCACTAAATTCATCCATTGCTTCTCTCATTTCTTCGATCTAAAACAGTCTGTACTTGTCTAAACAATCTGACACATTCGCCATTAAAGTAGTCGCATCTATTTCCTTCAACCTTCTCGCCTTCCACACCAAACCGTCCTCTTCTCCTCCGCATGTCTCCTTTCTCCTCTGCTTTCAACAAAATCTTCATTTCCTTGGTAAACCAAAAAAAAAAAAGAACAAAAAAGAAAAAGAACTTCAAAAAAGACAAGTTTCTTTTATACAATTTATAGTCTCTCTTAAATTTATTTTATCAAATAATATATATTTTAAACTATTTTAATATAACTAATAAAATAAAGTATTAATACAAATAAAATAATATTTTATTTTACTTTATATAATATATTTAAAAAAATAAAAGTCTATTTAAAATAATATATTTATTTTATATAATAATTCTTACTTAGAGTTGTCATCATTGATTGAAAGAAACAAACGGTCTATTTTTGTTTTTTTAATAACAATGCTCGGTAATCGACTTAAAACATGAAGCACCAAGTTTATCTCCAGAGCGGATAAAGAAATTTTGTTGAATCGGTGGCTCAAGTAATTCTTACTTTTGCATGGGCGTATTCCAAATATCGCTTCTGCTTTGTGGAGAATTGTAGAGGATGATGAACAGCTTCTTGTGGGGTCAGCAAAAAATGGTGAGAGGAATCTGCACTGAAGTCGTGGGATGCGATGTGTGAAAGCAAAGATGAGGATGACATAGGCTTTCGTTGTCTGTATGAATTTAACATAGCTATGCTGGGAAAATAAAGTTGGAGAATCATGACTAACCCAGAATCATTGTTAGTCTGCACGTTTAAAACTATATATTTTTCTATATAAAATTTTTTGACTGCTAGATTAGGATTCAACCCTAATTTCATGTGGAGTCTGATGGTTGCGAAAGATATGTTACAACAAGGTATTCAGTCGATCATTGGGTCAGGACAACAAGTGCAAATATGGAATGATCCATGGCTTCCTAAACTACATGACTATTATGTTCATAGTCAGTGCCTGGAGGGAGGCGAGGACATGTCAGTTTCTAAGCTCTTTAACAAATAGGGGATGAGCTGGAATACGGATATGGTGAGAAAGATATTAATAGAAGAAGAGACTAAACTCCATTAAGTTTTCGGTGTAGGGAGAACAGATATATTTGGTATATATCATCGGATGATAAGTATTTAGTGAAAATATATGTGGAAAATCGATATCCCACCCAAAATAAAGAAGTTTATATGGCCCCTATTGCAAAACTCTTTCCTGGTAAAAATAACACTGAAGATAAGAGGGTTGGAGATAGAAATGGATACCCCAAATACAGCTTGTAGGAAACCAGTCCGCATGTCTTTATGGATTATGAAAAGATAAGAAAATATTGGCATATACTGGGGTGTTAGTGGCCCCATAGTGGATATAAAATAACTTGTTTAGTGGCTTGAGAATTAGACTAGTATTATGTTTAAATACCAAATATGTGAGCTGTTCTATTTTTTCTGGAGACTATGAGTTGAGAGAA